CAGGGTATGCCAAGTTTCGACTTTTTAAAGATATTTTTTGTCAGTCTTTTTTTTGTGTCTTGTTTTTGCTGTTGGCTCTTTACATAATTGATTATCTGGCCTCTGACTAGACTTGAATTTCTGCAGTGGCTCTCCTCCCGCCTCCCGCCGCCTGCCCCCTACCGTCATCATACGCAAAAAAAATACAAACTCATGATGAACCCTCCCCTCCCCCCACTATTATCTTCAGTCTCATTATCAGCCACATTGTTTTTCCTGCTGCTCTTTCCTATCCTCTCTTCTCTTCATTCTCTCTCTGTTTGCTTTTCACCTGGTTTGGTCAGTTCTTAGCCCTCTTTCCCTCTCTTCCCTCCCCCTCCCCCTCTCCGTTTCTTCTTCTATCCCTTTTGTGGGCCACTTGTTCGTTTTTCTTTCGATTTTAACTTTTTAGAGAGGGAGATAGATTTTTGCCATGAAATGCAGTTGACAAAGAGTGTAATTTTGTTTTATTTTACTTTAGTTTTTCTCGTTTTCTTTACTTTGGTTTTTGGTGAGGGTGGAGAGAGGAGGGCGAGGAGCGGGGGCGGGGGGAAACTATTGAAAAACTCGGGCAAAAGCAAAGAGAACGCCGGAACAACATCGAAGTTGAAATAGAGTGGAAATGTAAGGGCGGTGTGGGAGTGGCAGTGGGCGGAGAAAACTTATCCACTGGAGAACTCAACCGAGAGAGACAGAGGAGAGGCGGAGGGAGAGGGGCGGAGGGGGAGGGAGAACAACTCCTGACAAAAACTGACAAAGTGCAGTCGGAGAAAATAGTTTTTTGGCCAAGAGTTTTCCCTGTAGCTCTGACTGGCTTCACTCCTCTCTCTCCTCGGCCTCTGCTCCTCCTCTTCTCTCTGCTCCTCTCTCTCTCTCTCTTTCTTCTAAAACTTTTCTTCTCCTGTTTATTCTTCTTCTTTATCTTGTTATTACTTTTTCATTTTTTGTTCGCTTGAATTAAATTTTATTTTATTTCCTTTTTTATTTTTGGGATATGTGTAAAAAATAAATTAGTGGAAAATTACATTTCCAGGCAAAAAGGGAAGCGGAAATGCAGTAGATACTCGATCGAATCGGGGTCGATGGTGGCTGGGATGTTGCAACTGCAATTGCAACACGCACACACCCACACCCATACGTCGCTGTAACTGGATCTGTAACTGTATCTGTGTCTGTAGTATCTGCAGCTATGGCTTCATAATCTGTATGACTGTATGACACGTGAGTGGTGGTGGTGCTGGGGGGTGCCCCCCCACCACCCCAGTCAGTCCTTTGACAGTTTTGCGGATGATGTCTGTGCTGGATACGATACCATTATGCTGGCTGCTGCGGAGAGAGGGGAGGGGGAGGCGAAAGAGAGGGCGGATGCCTTGAATGCCAAGGAAATTGGTAGGTGGATAATGTGTAACACTGCGATGCTGCTGGGATGCTGCTGGGATGCTGCTGACATGTTGACAGCCATCAGGCATCAGCCATGTGGGCGGTGCACCGGCAGGGGGAGGCGGTGGAGGTGGGGGTGGGGGCGCTGAACGAATTAAACTCCTTGAAGGAATCCGGAAAAGGATGTCAAAGAATCGTGTGTGGTGCACACTTCTGTAGAACAAAACGATACGGAATCACAAGCAAGGACCTACTTGAGGGAGCAGCCCTTGGGGAGCCCTTGGAGCCCACAGCTGGCGGGGCTTATCCTTTTAATAATCCAGCGTTTATGCACCAAGTGTTTGGCCATAAATATGGATTCATTCGTTCATGTATTATTTATTATATCCACTAGATATGTCCCGTGGTTTATTCATATTTAAAGCTTATCCATATGGCGGAAAAAAGGCAGTCCTTAACCCGTCATCATCATCATCCGTCTGCGTAAAGCCCCCCATAATGCCCTGACATTAAATTAGCCACCTGTCCTGTCGCCCCCCCTCCACCTCCACCCGTTTCAACCGTAGTTTTCCCCGACGCTGTCCCTCTCTGTCACTCTCCAGCTCCATCTCTGTCTCCATCTCTGTCTCTGTCTCGCTTTCCGAGCAGGTGTTAAGCTCTGCTTTTGATAATGACGCACATTACATATGCAACACGAGCTTTTGCTTTTGCTTCCGCTTTTGCTTCCACTTTTGGCTGTATCTTCCGTGTGCCTCTGCCCAAAAGGCGGCAAATGTTTTTCCACAGGCTCCCCCTCCCTCCTCCCTGTGTGTGTGTGTGTCTTTATTTAGCTCGGTATTTGTTGCACTCCCTAAGGACTCGATATCACATTTAAAACACCTGCCGCCGTGGAGCATTTGTTTATCCATGTTTGGAATTTCTACGGACACGGCGCCACCCAGTCGTGGGTGGATTGCGCCAGTTGTGGCATGAATATGTGAGAGGGGGCTTCCTTTTACTGAGAATATTACAAATAAGAATAGCTTGAAGCGCTCCTTAGAGCACACACTATAAAAATACCCAAGGTATTCCATTCCATTCCATTCCGAATACAGCAGGTCCCCAGAATCCGGTGAACAGTGTTTGTCGATGCCCCAGAAAGGGGTCCGCCGGTTCGAACGGCAAAATACACAGACTTTGTCGTTCTCTTTGTGAAGAACGTACGTGAAAGAGGCGTCCGCCTCTCCGGCGAAACAGGCGAGACCAGTGGGTGGGAATGGCAAGTCCTTTGCTGGTCATCATCATCTCTAAACACAATTTCCCGGTGGCCATTTCGCACACAGAGAGAGAGAGAGGGGGAGGGAGAGGGAGAGCGAGAGCGAGTGCTTTCCTTTGCTGCCCAGAAAAGTGTGGAAAACTGAACTAATTTGATTTCCATGCAAATCGCATTTCAAACAACTACAAAAAAACACAACAAAAACAACACACACACAACGTGGCTCCATTAAAATGTTGACAAAATTAAACAAAATTGACAATTTCCGGTAGTGGGGCAGGATCTCTGTCTCTGTCTCTCTTTCTCTCTTTATATATGTATTTATTATTTATTAAGTCACTCTGGAAAGGTACTCTTGAAGGCAGCTCCTTCTGCCTCCTGCCTCCGTTTCATATTGTGCCCCACTTTCCCGTCGCGTGGCAGGCGGTGGGGCAGGTGGAGGTGGCAACCTTTTGGCACGGCACAGTATGCGCGCATATTTAAATTTTAATTAAAATTTTCTTGGAGGCATACCACACCCCACCGCCACCCCTCCCTCACCCCTCGGGACGGGGCGGGGCGTGTTGTGTTCCCATTTCGCATTCGCGCGCCTAAAAATATGCAAATAAAAATTGCCTTTGTGCGAGTGTCAGAGAGGGGGAGAGCGAAAGGTGGGAGTGGGTGAGAGAGGAGTCCTGCTCTGATTTCCGATAGCCTTCTCGTTGGGAAAACATAGCCCTAGGGGCATGGCTTCCATGGCGGAAGGAGGAGGAGGAAGGAGGCATGGAGCCCCCCTCTCTCCCCCTGCCGGAAAAGAGCAAAAATTAATTAACTCTGTAACTGAGAGCCGCACACGGATTTATCGTTAATAAACAACTCAATCAACAAAAGGGAAATCGAGGGGAAATTGTGTGTGAAAATGTGCAAATAACAGTCAAAGGGGAAATGCCAATAAATCCCCCAGTGAAGAAGGATATCAAACAGGGTTCTGTGGAATATTCCCTTTTTCTAACACTTGCAGGAATATGTGTCAAAGGTCAGGCCAAAAAGGACTCCACATCATTTTCAGTGTCTAATCCTGTAAAAATATCCAGGAGTCTCTTTGCATTACTTTTCCCCCGTCTGGCGGCATCCTTAAGAAACTGTGGCCTGGGGCAGAGGGGGAGCGGGGGGGGGATGGGAGACTGGAGCATCTTCCTGGCATCTGTCATATGGGGTTTAGACATCGCTGCTGCAAGTTACCCGCAGATGAGGCAGGAGGCAAGAGGCAAGAGGCAAGAAATTTATATGCAACTTGTTTCCAGCTTCTTTCTCTTTCTCTTTCTTTTGTGCTCTGTTCCTCTTTTAGACTGCTGCTGCTGCTGCCTGCTGCTTCTCTTTCATTCTTGTTGCTTCTTCAAGTTGCACGAAAATCTGTTTTCGACTGTGGGCATTTCTTTTTTTGTAGGGTGGGGCGGGGAAGGGGGACGGGGGGTTGCCTGGTGTCTATGTCTGTGTCCTGGTGCACAAAAACCGCCAAACGACGAAGGCAGGGGACTGCCCGACTGCTGGGAGTGGCCCCGAGAGAAGCCTCTCAGTTCTGGCCACAATTTGCCATGTAAATATTAATGCCAGGCCAGACAGAGGGTCCAAAGGGGACCGAGGCAGCGGCAGGTACCTCTACATATAGACCAGAGTCTGTACTCAATTTTTCAAAGCTCGTTTGTGTCGTTAGTTGGTTGGTTGGTTGGTTGTTTGGGTCCCCCCCCTCTGGGCTCTGGCTATGCAAATAATGAATGCAAAATGCCAGAGGCAGGAACCCCGGAGAGGGGGGGAGGGAGCCCTAATCCGACCGAGAGAGAGGCGGCAAGCAATTCCATTTTTGTGCAATTAATTTTCATCAATTTTGTTGTTTCTCTTCCTTGCAGCTGGACGACAGGAATCCCCCCCTCGGATGCGATGCTACCGAGTGTTGAATGCAGCAATTATCCTCGAAAATGGAAAACTCCAAACTGCAAATCGGCAACTGTGAAAGTGAAAAAGGTTAAAGTGGAGCCTTGACTTTAGATCAAACTCTTAAAGAGCGAGAGAGATAGAGAGAGAGAGAGAAGAGTGCAATCTTATCGATAAATAATCGATTCAGAAATGTAGATCCATTTAGTGAAGGGAAACTGAAAGGAAAACATGTGGAAAATTCTACTAAAAAATATGTGAATATCATAAATAGAATATTAACATTAAAATATTCTATAATAAAAATATATACAAAAGTGAAATATTAAATAAAACAATTAAAAAACAAAAATCTAAGAAAATTATATACCGACTAAAAATTGAATAAATAAGTTGAAAAAGTGAAGAAAGTGTTTAAAAGAAAGTGGAAAAAATATACAAAAAATAAAAAAATATCTGTTAAATAAGATCCCGTTCGAAAAGGGATCCAAATGTTAAGTGTTGCCCGTTGAAACGATGGATAAAAGGCTCGGCGATAGTCCCGGAGATTGTCGCGTAACCAGATCCAGCATGACGCCCACCCTCCGCTTGGAGCACAGTCCCCGGCGGCAACAACAGCAACAACAGCAGCAGCAACAGCAGCAACCCCAAGAACAACAGCAACCAGAGTGCAGTGGAACATCTGCAACAGCGAAATCCAAATCCAAGTCCAAGTCCCCCACACCGCCCACCTCCAAATCCCAGGCAGGGGGTGCCCCTCAGCAACAGCAACAGCAGCATCATCAATTCCGTGCCCCGCAGCAGCAGCAGGGACCCAAAAACAAGAACAAGGCCTGGAGCAAGAGGGGCCACAAGACCAGTGGTGGCGGCGGTGGCAAGTACAGTGGCAGCGCCTGTGTCGGCATCGCACAGTCGCATCCCAATGGCAGCAGTGGGGCGGCAGGTGCCGGCTTGGGCCTGGCGGGGGGACAACCTCCGGCTGGAGGCGGAGTGCCGCCCACAGTGGCGGCGGCCCACAAGGCCGATCTGGAGAATATACAGAATATCAAGAATCAAATATCCGGCAATGCTGCGAGCCACCATGGCAGCGGCAGCGGCGGCGGTGGCGGCGGGTCGGCCTCCCATCACGGGGGATCGCATCACAGCGGCGGCGGTGGAATAGGCGGCAGCGGGGGCGGGGGCGGGGGCGGGGGACACCACCACCATCACAACACGCGGCTGGCGCAGATTGCCGCCGGCACAGGGGGAGTGGGGGGTGGCGCGGGCGGCAATGGCATCTCCATCGGAGCGATGGACAAGCACGGACTGAAGGCCCAGCAGCAGCTCTACAAGAAAATGCTGGCGCACAGGTGAGTGGGAAATCCGGAAGCCAGCGAAATCGAGAACATCCGATGGGGGTGTGCCCACGTACCAGTATGACACTTGCTTAAGGTTTTCCCTGAATTTCGAATTAAAAGGTGGATTAAAGATAACCAGGGACCGTAATCCCTCTTAGTTCCATTTTAAGGGGAGGTTTCCGTTCAAAAAATTTCATGTATTTTTTTTTTCGTTAAAAAAGTATTCTGCAAAAACCTTTTGGGGCGTTTTAATTGTTAGTAAAAAAAGGAATTTTTAAAAAAATTGCCTTAAAAAATATTTCAAAATAGTTTGCCGCACATTTTGTATTGAAAAAAATTCCTGAAATTTTAGGCCATTTTTTTTTTTTGGTTTTAGAACGGAAAAAATCCTAGAATACAAAATAATTTGAAGTTTTCGGGATATTTTTCGATAAAGTTTACGGAGCTGAGAAAATCTTAAAACTAATTGAGCTCAGACAAGCACATTTTAAAAGTTTATTTATTTGTATGAGAAGATGGCTTGAAATCCCATTTTTGGGCCTAAGCCAAATTAGCGGCAATTTTTTTATTACTTTTTTTCATTCAAAGTTTCTAGACAACCTAAATTTTTGAATTATTCATCTTTGAGTTTTATTTTTTATTTTAATAATTAATTTTCATTTTTTTGTTTTCATTAAATTTAATAATTTCTTTTTTTTTTTTGGTATTTGTTTTTTCTTCGTTCCGTCTATTTTAACTGAATAAATTCTCGTATAAAAAAAATCAATTTTTTTTTACTTTCCCTGAAGACTTGTCGGATAAAAGAGGTTCTTGAATGCGGGAAAGGGGTCGAAAGCAGTCGCAAAATATTTAATTGGGTGTCATACGGGTACCGGGTATTCGCTGAATGAGGCCGAAGAATTCCATTCTGTAGCATTCCTTTCGCTTATCTTCATTTCCACTCCATTCCATTCCATTCCGACCAGGAGCCATCATCATCATGTGCTGTGCGCCGGAAACAATGCCAATCACACGTGCTGCCTGGTGACCGGCTGCAACGGAACCAGCGCCGGCGGAGGAGGCGGCGTGGCTGGAGGTAATAGTGGCATCAATGCCGTGGGAGGCGTGAACGCCGGATGCAAGGATGCGCAGAGCAACAAGGACACCAGCTCGCTCAGCGGAAACAGCAACATCTCGGGCAGCGCAGCGGCGGCGGCGGCAGCGGCCAATGCCGTGCACTACTGCTGCGGGCGGTCCAAGTTCTTCCTGCCGGAGAAGCGGCTGCGGAAGGAGGTGATTGTGCCGCCCACCAAGTTCCTGCTGGGCGGCAACATCTCGGACCCCCTCAACCTCAACTCGCTGCAGCACGAGAACACCTCGAACGCGTCGAGCAGCAACAACACGCCGGCGACGACGCCGCGCCAGTCGCCGATTACGACGCCGCCCAAGGTGGAGGTCATCATACCGCCCAATATCCACGACCCGCTGCACCTGCTCGACCCCGTCGACTCGATGGAGTACGAGAAGCAGCTGACGTCGCCGATGAAGCGGGGCGGCATGCTGACGCGCGGCAGCCACCTGAAGCTGCAGCAGCAGCCGCAGGCGCACCACCGCCAGCACAGGCCGCGGAAGAACCGCAAGCGGCGCCGCTTCGACTCGAACAACACCTCGCATGCGGGCGACGACGGGGGCGAGGGCAGCGAAACGCTCTCCGTCTCCCTGGACGAGGCGGGGACCTCATCCTCGGCGGCATCGCCGGTGGCGCCACTCGCTGCCGCCGGCTCTGCCGCTGCTGCGTCCCTCAGTCTGCTGCTGAGCGAAGCCGCCGCACCGGCATCTGCATCGGCATCGGCATCGGATACGGGCGGAACGGCGGAAATGGGCCAGCAGCAGGCGCATGTGCGCTCTCCCCAGGCGGCCACGATGGCCACGGCAGAGATGCCGGCTCCCACGCCCACAGAGGCGGCTGTCCAGTCGGGCGGCATCGCACCGGCACCGGCACAGGCACAGGCTCTGCCACTGGCACTGGCACCGGAACAAATGGAATGCAACATGAGTCTGCTCTCGTCGCCGACAGCGCCGCCAGCTGCATCATCGTCACCGCAACAGCAGCAGCAGCAGCAACATGTGTCCATTGCAGCGTCAGAGGGGGATGTGTCTGGCTCCACAGAGCTGCTGTTGAGTGCCTCGAAGTCGGCATCGACCTCGGCCTCGGCCGCAGCCCTGGCCGTGGCCTCGACCCTTGCGGAGAGGCGGGCACAGGCCAGCCGGGACTTGCGCCTGGATTTGAGCAGCACGTGCTACGGCGTCGGCGGCACGGGCCTCAGCTTCGGCAGCAGCAGTGCGGCCAGCATCGGCAGTGGCAGTGGCAGCGGCAACGGCAACGGCGGTGGCGGTGGCAGGAAGAGGAAAATCAGCGAAAGCAACAATTCCCAGAAGAGCAAGGTAGGGAAATCCTTCGAAATCTCACCCATTTGCAGCCATATCTAATCGGTTTTTTGTATCTTTGATAGAAATTCCATCGTAACGATGGCATGGACAAGATCGTGAGTCCCGTGGTGCCACAGCCAGGGGCATGGAAGCGTCCGCCACGTTTGCTGCAGCCCAGCGGTGCCCGGAAGCCCAACACGCGACGATCCACGTCTTTCAGCGAAACGGAACTGCTCAGCCCCGTCGAGGAGCAGCCGCCCAGGCAGTTGCCCCTCATCGAGGGTGAGTCGCAGCCTCCATCCCTCTGGACCCTTAACTAATCCCGATTTCCCCTCGATTGCAGTGAACATCCCACGCGACGATACGCCAGATCTGTCGGAGCAGGGCCTGGGCAGCCCCATGAGCACCACATCGGCGGCCACCTCGCATACGGCCGGGGAACAGGACTCCCTGCCGCCGGACACCGCGGCCGCCGTCGAGGCAACTGCCGAGTCAACAGCAGCCGGGACGGCGGTAAAGCCGATGCCCGAGGAGCCGACCCTGATGCTGGAGCCGGCCCTGATACCGCCCCTCAACAAGCTGCCCAAGTTCCGGGCGGATGGGGTGAAGTACCGCTACGGGAACTTCGACCGCTACGTGGACTTTCGGCAGCTGAACGAGTTCCGGGACGTGCGGCTGCAGGTGTTCCAGCGGCATGTGGAGCTCTTCCAGAACAAGGACATCCTGGACATTGGCTGCAACGTGGGCCACATGACCATCACGGTGGCCCGCCACCTGGCCCCGAAGACCATACTGGGCATCGACATCGACCGGGAGCTGGTGGGCCGGGCCCGGCGGAATCTGTCCATCTTCGTGCGCATACCCAAGGAGGAGAAGGTGAAGATGGAGGTGAAGCAGGAGCCCACGTCGCAGCTGGTGAAGAGCGAGCCCATGGACGACGGCGAGGAGGCTGCCGCCGGGAGTCTGCACAAGAAAACGCGACGTGGCAAGAAGCGACGCAAGGCGCTACAGGATCAACAGCAGCTGCTGCATCCTAGCCACCACCATCATCATCATCCCCATCCCCATCACCATCATCCCCACCATCATCATCACCATCACCACCATCATCACCATCAGAACCAGGAGCAACTGCAGCAGCAGCTCAAATTGGATGCACTCCTTGTGAAGCCGCACGAGTTCTTTCCCATCTCCTTTCCGCTGACGTACGGCGGCATGCCGCAACTGCCGCTGCCGCCGGCAGGGAAGTCCCCGAACCTCTCCCCGAACAAGAACCAGTTCCCGGCGAACGTCTTCTTCCGGCAAACGAACTACGTGCTCAAGGACGAGTCGATGATGGCCAACGATACGCAGCAGTACGATCTCATTCTGTGCCTCTCCGTGACCAAGTGGATCCATCTCAATTTCGGGGATGCCGGCCTCAAGCTGGCCTTCAAGCGGATGTTCAACCAGCTGCGGCCCGGCGGCAAGCTCATACTGGAGGCCCAGAACTGGGCCAGCTACAAGAAGAAGAAGAACCTCACGGTAAGTGACGGATCATCCGTGGAGTCTGCATACTAGAGCCATTCGGTATTCGCTTCGTAACGCCGAAAATTTCGGTTTTTCTTTCTCGCTCACTCTCCATTTGATTCGCAAACTGATTCGCTCTCTTTTGCAGGCGGAGATCTACAACAACTACAAGCAAATCGAACTCTTTCCGAACAAATTCCACGAGTACTTGCTCAGCTCCGAGGTGGGCTTCAGTCACAGCTACACGCTGGGCGTGCCCCGGCACATGAACAAGGGCTTCTGTCGGCCCATTCAGGTGAGTGCTGCCACATGGCAGGTGCCCTGCGATTCGCATTTGATAAACCGCATTTTGCTCTCTTTACGCAGCTGTACGCCAAGGGCGACTACACACCGAACCATGTCCGATGGAGCGATGCCTACTATCCGCAGACGCCGTACGAGGCCTATCGCGGGATCTACGCCACCTTGCCGGCCCATCGGATGAGTGCCGGCGGCAGCCACAGCGGGCACGCGCCGCTGCTGCACATGAGTAGCTCGAGTCGGTCGCAGAACTACGATACGCCGCACTATGCGGGCAGCGCCTCGGGGTCGGCCAGCCTGCGGCAGACGCCGCGCTACCAGCCCACCTACAATCCCCTGGAGACGGACTCCTACCAGCCCAGCTACGACATGGAGTCGTACGGAGGCAATCACATGTACGTGTTCGCCTCGCCGCTCTACCAGACGGTCTGGTCGCCGCCAGCCTCGCTGCGGAAGAGCTCCTCGCACACGCCCGTCTTTGGCAGCGTGCGGGAGGCGGAGCTGGACGGCGACAGCAGCATCGGGGGCGGCGGCAGCGGCGGCGGCAGCTACCATCGGCACGTCTATCCGCCGAACGATGACACCTGCTCCCCGAACGCCAACTCTGGGAACGCGTTCAACTCGATCCGCGATGCGGACACGGACGACTCGAATCAGCTGCCCAGCGGCAGCCGGCCCCATGTGTATGCCACCAATTGTGGCGAGAGCTCCTCCTCGCCGCAGGTGAACCACCACGAGGCCACCGCAGAGTTTGTCGAGGACGGCCTGATGGACGATGAGCAGAAGACGCCGGTCGCCGGCGGCACGCCCACCGCCTACCACAGTGATCTGTCGGATGCCTGAGCGGGTGAGGGCGGCGGCAGGGGCAGGGGCGGAACGAAGACGGCTCGCAAGAAAGGAAGAAAAGAAAAATGTGTCAAAAGCAAACAAAAAAGAGAAAAACGGATAAACAAGCAAAAGAAAAATTCAAAAATTGTTTGAAACAAAAACAAAAATATGGTAACCGTAAACGAGACGCTTATGATTTTGTTGTTTGTATGTATCAAATATATATGGTAGTAGTAAATGCATATATATATTTTTATATATTGTAATTTAAAAAGTAACAGAATCACACAGATATATACTATATATACATATATACGGATAAACTGATATACAGATATACAGATGCATGTGTTTATAGGTGTATTTTTTGTTGTTTTTAGATTAGCTAACGATTTTTGCTAGAATGCTTTATGGTCAAATTCAGATTTGATCCTGTTGGCGGTTGGGTGGTTCTTTCATGTAAAATCCTAGTTTACACACACACACACACACGACACACACACACACACACAACAAGCTTTAGCTTTAAAAAATGTCTAGAGAAAAAGTCCCTGTAAAATGCAACTATTTTTGATCAAAATGTTTTTGGCAAAAGAGGATAATAGATAATATTAATGCGAAAAAAAGCGAATGTGAAAACAATAGAGAGTACACACAACAAACGATATATGTAATAAATTCTGTGGCAAAAGCAAACAAAATACAATACTTACAATATATATACTTATATATATATATATATAGTGCGGTTTATATTTAGAGTTGTGTAAACGCAAACAATTGAGGATTATGCTTAGCCAGAATTAAGAGATACCATAGTTTTACGTTTAGGCGCAGGGTTACCGCTTAGCAGCATGATTAGCATTAAATCTCTATCCTTCAGCCTATATCCCGGCATCGCTGCATCATTGAACGGCGTGTGCCTGCCTGTTCCATGTAGATATATTCCCCCAAAATGTGGTATCCCCCTCTAGCCCATTTCCCACCTTCCAGAGCGCGGCGGTGTTTTGTGGGGCGAACAAGTTTATTTTTATCAATGCTGTTTTTAAAACATTTTTTGTAGGTTTTTTTTCTGAGAAAATGAACACATTTATAAATTATATAAAAGAATTACAAGAAATATATATATATACATATATATATATAGAAATAAATTTGCAATTATATGAAGAACATGTTTTAAAAGGGGTTTTATTTTGAAATTAAGATAAATCGCCAAAAGGCAATAGGCAATGGATTGTCAAACATCTGTAAGTATATTGGTCGGAATCGATCTGAACTGATCGGTTCCCGATATCATCCAGTCAGCTTCCAAGCCCTTAAACTCCATAGCTATGGAATACAAATTAATGAAAGCATGCTGTATCTTTGGACTAGGATTCAAAGGCGCTGATCATGTAGTGGGAGTGATGTAGAAGGGCTGTAGTAAACCACGATCTTTCAGCAAAGCCTATGCCTTTTCAGAGGCATATCCGGGTAGGAATGAGATTGAGTGTTTTGCTGTATAATTCGAAGGCTCTGAAGGGGTATTGTAAACCACGATCGTACGGCAAAGCCCATGCCTTCCAGAGCTATGGAATGTGATTGAGTGCTGCTGTATCTTTGAACTACAATTAAAATGCTCTGATCAACTAGTGGGAGTCATAGTAACTATCCACCTGAAGGGGTATGGTAAACCACGATCGTGCCTTTCCAGACGCTGTTCTACATTTTGAATACCAACGTCTCGATCGAGAGAAAACCTGTTTGAGCTTCGTATAACAGTGCCGCCCGCCCGATCAGCTGTTTGCTCTCTCGCTCTCTCTCTCTCTGCCAAAAGCTCTTGCTTGGGCACGCACGCTCATTCCGCCGAGAGTCGAAGAAGAACGAACTGCTGTCGACGGACGCAGAAGAGGAGGCTGGCCTTCAATTAAAAGAAAGTTTAATCAGTGAAAAATAAATTATAAATAATTTAAGTGATAGTGCGATGACGTTGTGTAAAAGAAACCGGGTGCCAAACATTCTCTTTGTGTCACTCTCTCTGGCTTGCTGACCCTCTCTTTAACGCTCGCGGAGAGCGAGAGAGAGAGCGAGAGATCGATCCGAACCGTGCCTATCTGCAATATTTTGACGTTTGTCTCTGGCCTTTGCTTCGTCAAAAGTTTTGCAAACGTTGGGGCTGCTTGTCTGCGACGGCGTCTGCGCTCCCCCAACAAAAACATATACAAGTTTTCAAGTTTTTCGAGAAGAAGAAGGTCTCCCAAGTGTCGGCCGTCCGGGTGGTGTCCGTGTGTGCCCGAGTGCGATTGATTAACAACATTTTAATATTATTTAAATTGATTTTGACGCCTCAATTGAATTGCTCTTGCAGCAGCAATTAGCAAAGCGAATAAGCGAGGCATTCATCTGTACTGCATGGGTGTGAGTGTGAGTGAGTGTTTGTGAAAGCCCCAACGGATGAATCACAATAAACAACTGTACTCAAAGGAGTGAAGGCTCCACAACTGGTTCTTCATAATTTTACAACCAGAAACCTTGTGTAAGTATCAGTTAATTATAAATAGATCAATTATACAATCGAGTGTTTGGTAATTCTACAAGTGGAGTGCTGATGCACATTTTTACAGAGCTTATCTTTCATTCGAATCGACATCGATAGGTATTTTTCCAACAAATAAAACGGATATCTTATTCCATAAACTTTTCCAATACCGAAAGGTACACTTAGAAACGCCACTCAAATTTACATAACAGACAGGGTCCATCAGAACAGAGTCCAGCCGTAAGCCTTGCCCCATGCATTCAATACAATAATTCCAATGCTAGTCATTTATCTTATCTAACCCGAAGGCTGGGCCCACCCCGCCCCGGTTGTTGTGGGGAATTCTGATTTCAGATACTGTTCTGTGTGAACTTTTTGAACTGGAATTATAGTGATTGGCTTTTGTCGGGACAGGTATCGGAGCGTTACAGTCTCAGCTTCCCGTGATTGAACAGTTCTAATGGGTTAGGTCTCTTGAAAGGGCTGCTGACTGTTCTTAGGAATAAGTTCCTCTATCCCTACCCGTTGAGCTTCGTATATCTTTACAGGTGGGTGTGTCAATCAATTATTACGTTGACATTTCACCCAACCACGTGGGTTTATCTAATCACTAGCATAATTGTAATTGGCTTTGTTTGAGATTCATGACAGCTCATTGGGGTCGGACAATGAATCGAATGATTACAGCAATTGCAAAACTCGTTGTAAAAGCTCCCACTGATAAGATAGAGCCCCAACATATTGCGGATAGGGCCAGGCCAATTGCGTTTCAGTGAGTCATGGAGGAGCCACATTTCCCATTTGATCAGCGATTTCTAAACACGTCCAAAAGGTTTATGAACCCACCACAAAGCTCGGTCAGAGCCGAAAAGCTGAGGCAAACTCGTTTCGGTCTGGCTCTTGTGACCTTGTAGACAGCACCCAGCACACCCCAAGCACCCCCCAGGCAGACCCTGTTTTTGAGAAATATCCATTGGCTAATTTTCAAATGGCAAAAGAGACAACTATCGCATTTCCAGTCAAAATAAATGCATGAAAGCTCCCCCAGCTGTTTCTGAACTTCGCAGCTGTTGGCCCGACACCAATTACTCCGCGCTCTCTCTCTCTATCTCTCTCGCGCGCTAAGCTTGCGGCTGTTGCGCTTTGCTCTCACCTTAACCGTTAACCGTTACCCGTTTCGAGCTTTCGGCCAGCTCTACGCAGTTTAGTTAATATTATTAAGTAAAGTGTCGGCAACGGTGTCGCAACGGTTTGCTCAAGCGCGCGCGTGCACCTCTTACAGATCGCTGATCGCTGGGCGCAGAGGAGTGGAGCGGAGAGACGCTGTGGAGTGTGCGGAGAGAGCTTTCGGCGGGGGCTCGAGCGTGCGTCAGTGTCAGTGTTACGGTGCTTGCCGTGTGTTTATGATTGTGTGTGTGTGTGTTGTCTTCACTTCTTGTTCTTCCTTTTTGGCGCAGTAGCGTGGCAGTATCTTTCTCCCTCTCTCCCTCTGTCTCTGTCTTTAATGCGACGTCGCGCTAAATACTGTTCTGCAATTTCCGTTAGTCGGCAGCGGCAAAATGTAAACAAAAAGAGAAAGAGCGAGAGCGAGTGAGAGAGACAGACACATAGGAAGAGCAAGTGAATTATCAGCCGCAAACGTGTTAATCTCATAAAATCAGAATATCTTTAAAGAAGCAGCAGCCAGCACTGATGTGAATCTCTCAGATGCCAATCATCAGATGGGGGCAAATATCTGCCAAAAAAAAAATCCAATTGCAATTACAATTACAATTACTGCCACATTTGATGGCCTGCTTTGATCAGAGCAGCACTCCTCCTTTGGCAAAACTTTTGCCGAGAGTGAAAAATATGAAAACAAAACCCCAAAGACACATAGATACACAGTATATCCAAAAAATACATGCATATCTGTGTGTGCCCCTGTGTGTGTGCAAAAGTTTTATGAGCTGGAAGCACCCAAAAAAAAAAAGCAAAGCAAAAGATACATTTCATAGTATATTCGTAGCCCAAAGAAATATGGCTGTACGTTTTGGTTTTGGTTTTTTGTACCCAGAGATAACAAAAATATTGTGATAAAAATTCAATTAATTAATGCCTTATGGTGACAGTCTCCCACAGAAGTATACATACGAGTATGTAAGGCAGAAAAAGATAAGATAAAAGAGCAAGAAATTGTAGTTCAAATCAAACAAAGAAAACCCCGAAATCAAGGAATCAAAATTAAAAATGAAATCAAATATTATTAACCATAAAAAACGAAAGCTCAAAACAAAGAAACTGAATTACAGAATCAACAAAACCAAACAAAAAAGCTGTGCAAACTTCGGTTTGAATCGAATGATTGGAATATAAACAGATGGTATTTTTTACCCTTAATTGTTAGTTAATGGTGCGCCCTTTCCTCCATATAGAGAACCACATCAATCTGTCAGTGGTTCCATTAATTAGTAAAACGAATGCAATATTCAAAATTTCTTGTTTAATTAGCCGCCGCGCCCCACTGGCCATTGCCTGAACCCAACCGAAACCGTTTATAGATGCAGACCGCAAATGCAAAATGATGCAGAGAA